TAATAATAATAATAATAATAATAATAATAATAATAATAATAATAATAATAATAATAATAATAATAATAATAATAATAATAATAATAATAATAATAATAATAATAATAATAATAATAATAATAATAATAATAATAATAATAATAATAATAATAATACTAAAATTCGAATCTTCTGTTATATATTTTTCTTTCTTCTTATGGTTTCATTTTAAAAATGCAAAAATTTTACTCGATAACTATCCATTCATTTAGATAATTTACCTTCACTTTGTGTAATGTTACCGCATGTGTCGTTACGGAATAGAAGCGTTTAAGTGAATCAGCCAAAATATCTCTTTCATTTTCCACTTTATTATAATCATGTTGTAGTGAGGTTAAGCGTTGTTCCGTATTTTCAAATCGTGACTAAAATATTTCAAACATAGGCATAAATATAAATTGAAGTATATGGAAGCATATGGATTTATTTTAATATCAACAAGAGGGAAGAAAAAAAGTTTAACCTTTAGATCAGCTAATTCATACCTTTAAATCAGCTAATTCATATTTTCTTGATTCTAATTCTTGTAAAGCATTAAGTCGACCATCTTCTGCAGCTCGATGTGCATTTGCTAAATCTTCCAACGATGATTGATATTCATCTGTTCTGCGTACCATTTGATCTTTGCCAAATTGTAGCTCTTGTTGCAATTTGGTAACTTCGGAGCGTAAAGCATTACGTTCTGTTTCAGCAGCAACAAACTGAAAAAGCAATATATTTAATATATAATTAAACCTTTTCGTTATTGTTGTAGTTATTATTGTTCGAGAATTGTTATTGTTATAGAATAATTATTATTGTTGCAGTTGTTGATGTTTTTGATGAAATTATCAAATTAACATACTTTATCTGAGGTATCTCGAAGATTTTGGCGCATTTTGTTCATTTTGACATCGAATGATTGCACCAATTGGGTCAAATGATCTAATTGCTTGACCTTATCACGATAAATATTTTGCAGTCGTTCTCGCTGAAATTTAATTTTCATAAATTTCTCGCTTTTTTTTTTTTTCTTATGGCATATTTAAGAATTACACGTGATTTTGTTGAAATATAGAAGTTTGAATTGTAATTAAAATGGAAGAACTTACTTCTGCTTTGAGATGATCAAGTGCATTCTTTTGTTCCTTAATCGTCACTTCGTACTGTTGGATTTTATTTCGAAGTCGTTCAAGCTCAGATTCTTGATTTATATTCGTGCTCTATAATTTCAAAATTCTAATGTTACTTTTATTCATTTATTCTTATGATGAATTTAAAAATGTTTCAACTTGACTAAATTTCATTTGCATAATTTTTGCTGGTTTTATTATTAGAATGCAAATTATAGAAATTATTGATACCTTGAGTAGGTCATATTCTCGCTGTAAAATTTCTAGCTCATTTCGTGTCTTAGCATGTTCACTTTGCAGTGTAGCATATTGATCCTCAACGGAACGTAATCTGCTTAATGAACTTTCCAAATCTGATTCACGAGTTACAGCAGCAGATTTCAAGTCTGATATTTCTTCCTCAAGACGTCGGATTTGTGTATTCACTGTAATCACGTAAATGTTTACGTTTTCTTTTTTTTTTAAAGATTCTGGAGATGAAAGCTTCTGTTTCCAATACATAAAACAAACACTTACATTCTCGTATTTTTCCATTTTGATCATTAACCGTTTTATTCAGTGATTCAGCTCGTTCATTAGCTGCTGCAAGTTGTGTTCTTAGTGCATTACTTGATGTTTCAAGTGCTTTAAGCTCCGATCGTACCGAATACACTTCAGTCTTCCATTTTTGTATTTCCTAAAATGGAAAGGAAAAATAAAAATTTCCCGAATAAAGTGATTTTTTGTTCCTTTCCTTTTTTTTCTTTTTTTTAAATGCTTATTTAAAAATATAACTAAAAATACGTTTACATTTTCTGCTTCCTGTCGTGCATCATCTAAATCATCCTTGAGTTTCTGGATTTGTGCTAATGCTTGTTCATACTTTTCCTTCAACTCTACTTTTTCACGTTCCAATTGATTTTCACGATTTTCAGCTTCTGCAAGTTTTCTTTCAGCTTCAGCAAGTTTATTGCGAAGTTCATCTTCAACATATTTGATCGATTCCAAATTCTGAAAACTTGTCTCTATTTTATATCAAGAGAAAAAGAAAAAAAAAAATATATATGTACAAAAACCATTCCGAATGTGATAATTGTTAGATTATTGAGATCAGAATAATATGAGAGAATGCTTTGGATGATTACATCCAAGTTTTATTTTGCTTTTTTTTTGATGTAAAGAAATAACTGATTTACCTTATTGTATTGTTCTTTCTCGTCATCAAGATCATTCTGATGTTTATCATGAAGTTGTGAAATTTCGCTTCGTAATCTATCAATTTCTTCTTGATGTTTACGTTTCAGTTCCGCTATCTCGGTTTCTTGTCGTTCAAATTCACGATTTTTTTGCGTGATTTGATCTTCCAAATCACGAATCCTACGCTCAAGCTCATCCTAAAATTTGATCTTTTATGTGAGTAGATTGTTTATTTTTGATAAAAATTCGAAAACGTTAGGATTACTTTTAGACAATCAGATTGATCAAACCTTTTCACCAAGAATTTTATCAAACTCAAGTTTCCATTTATCGTTAACTTCTCTGATTCGAATTTCATGTATTTCGGTATCATAAACTGTAGGACCACTTGGACCAAGTGAAATCTTATCTGAAACATAACATTCCTTATCAGTTTCTAAAAATAAGAGGGAATCTTTTTTTTTCTTTTTTTCCGTTAATTAAACGGACTATACCTGTCTCTTCTGATTCATCCTTACGTGTACCACGAGAACTGCTTTCAATTTCTTGCTCCAATCGTTTGATTTTTTCTGCAAATTATAAGATAAAACAAAAATATTTGTAAATTATTCTTATGCAAAAAAGGAAACTTTGAATAAGTTCCACATTTAAGAGATTTACTTTCAAGTTCTTCTATTTCTGCTTTTGTCTCTTCAAGTTCTTTTTGCAGAAGATGTGCACGATTTGTTTCTTTTGTTAAAGCATCACGTGTCTTTTCTTCCTGTTCCGTAATTGTTCGATTTTCTATTTTTAACTTCTCAATTTCTAGTTCCAGCCTCCGAATTTGTTCTTTCCATACTTCAGCATCACTTTCAGCTTTAAGTTTTTGGCTGAAAAAAAAAGGCAACAATTTAATAATTCAAGCATATGTTATTGAAAATTGAAATTTTTTTCTTAAATTTAAAAAATGAACAACTGGCATTTTTTGCTCCTTCTTATTCAAAAAAAACAAACTTGATAGCATCCTGCTTTTCTCTTTGAAGACGACTGTTTAATTCGTTCAATCGAACAGTTTCTTTTTGGCTTGTAATTAAATCATTCTCGATAGCGGTTATTTTAGCTTGACCACTTTTGATTTGCGTATCAAGCTCATCATTATGCCGGCGTAACATACTTAGCTGATTCTCATAATCCGTAATTTGAAGTTTGAATTTTTCGATTTCTTGCGTTAAACCTGTAAATTTGAATTTTTCATTTAATAATACAAAATTTTCAAATTCAAAAGTATTAAAATATGTAAAAAGATTTTTTCGAAATTTCACTTACGGCTCGTTGTTTTTTCCGCTTCTTCTCGTGCTGCTTTTTCATTCTCTAACTGATGCTTCAAATCGAACATTTGTCGTGAAAGCTCATCTTTTTGTTTACTAAAAATAAAATCATCCAATGTGTGATAAATTCTTGTTGTTGAAATTAGGAAATTTTC